TAAGGCAATGGGGTCCTGAGATGCTTCGAAACTTACTGGAAGGCACATAGCAGAGGGGGTGGAGGCAGCATTCTCTGACTCTGGGGCCCATGACCTCTACTCCCAAATAAACACAAATATCATTTAAACAAAGTGCTTGGTTCCTCCTCACAAATGGAGGATTGAGATAAAGATAGGAGGGCCAACGTTGTCTTTCCCCACACTCTGTGTACATACCAACACTCTGGATGTACAGAGTGAAGAACGATTGCTTCTGTCTGGTAAAAAGAGTTCACGCGGGAGGTGACACTTGAGGGGGGCTTTGAAGTATGCATAGGAGTTTGCCAGGAGGACATGCACAAAGGTGAAGAGGTGTGAGTGTTTCTAGAGGATGAAGTCACGGAGGTGTTCTGTGAAGCAAGACAGCAGGCAGTTCCTGGCACAAGTGAGCTTGCGCATTGATAGTGAGAGAGAGCGCCCGGGGATTTAGCTCAGCAGTTCCGCTGCCTGCCTTGCAAGCACAAGGTCCCAAGTTTGATCCCCAGTACAGAAAAATTTAAAAAGAGAGAGAGGACCGAGGGGGGTCTGTATGAAGGGACGGTGGACAGAGGTGAGTAAAGATTCATTGCCAGAACTGGAATTCCAGGGTTGCTTAGAAACGACCAATCGGGAAGTGTATGCAAATCACATGCTGGTGGTATGCAAATGAGCAGACTTCTTTTGTCTGGCCTCCAGCGGTGCCCTGGCAGCTGGCAGTGAGGCTCAAAACCCACGGACCCCGGTGGCTTCCATGAGACCCCACGGGAGGCTCCCAGCTGCCACAGCGCCTGGGGGTGGGTGGAGAGGAGGGCGGGAGCTGGGGAGCTGCTGGGGCTCCCCGACCCCACCGCGGAGAATGGATGTCACAGCGACAGCTGGCCAGGCCCAGTTGTTGGGGCGCCAGGGCGAGGGATCAAGGGCAGACGGAGGCCCGGGGCCGGGCGGGCAGGGCCCCCCAGCTGGAGAAGCCTCCCACCCTCGGAGCCCCTCTCAGCCTCAGGGGCCGCACAGGGCCCGGCGTGGACTTGACTTTCTGGGCCAGGACTGTGCCCGGCTCCCTCCTGGGCCCGAGGCTCGTCCGGTGCCAGTGCACACCGCCGCCCCCTCCAGCCACACGCACACCCGGGCTTTGCCTGAGCCCTGAGCCTTTCTGTGTGCCTGGTCCCTCCCTGAGGCGGACCTCCTGAGGGCAGGGATTGTCCCCGCCGTCCCTCAGGGCTGTGCCTCACGGCAAAGGCAGACGGGTGAACCGCTTGGACGCCGCACAGCACAGGAGCAGCCCGCACTCTGCGGCCACAGCCTCAGTCCCTCCTGACCGAGCCCGGAGGAGGAAGACCTGGCCTCCCGGGCTGGAGCCCCTGCCCCCCAGGGGTGACCTGCTGGGGCCCTGACCTTTCCATCTTCCTAAATGGAGTCTTTGTTGGGTGGAAGAAAACCATGAGGGCCAGAAAGGACCGCAATGACAGCACCCCTGCCCAGCACCTCCTGGGTAAACTGAGGCTGACAGAAAGAACAGGGCTTCTACGGGAAGAGGCCCGGTCTCCCTGCCCTTGCTTGTCCCTGGATGTTTTCTGCGGCCTCCCCTTCCTGTCCCAGACCCGAGCCCAGCCGGGAAGCGGATCCTTCCGGGGGCCCCGCCTTCCCCGGGACGCGCATTGCCCGGACCTCAGGTAGCGCCTGTGCAAAAGTGGAGACCCAGCGCCTGCCCTCACAGCCCCGTCGCGTCCGTAATAATTCATAAGCCTGGCTTCCGCAGGGTGGATGTCTGTCTGTCCGCCTGTTCGGGATCTCGGGAGACTTCTCTGGCTCCTTCCTGGCCATCTCGTGTCCGGAACAGGGCCTGGCCGTGCAGGTGCCACCTGACGGGTTACCTGGGGGAATGGCGGTCCAGCTCCTGGGGAGGACCTGTTCTTTTGCGATTTCTGGACTCCCTGACCCGGAGGGGCCTGGTCCTCCCTTACCTTCTCCTCCTGCAGCCACGCTGGGCCCCCAAATCCACAGGAACAGCCCATTTGCCCCCGGTGAATTGTCTAACTCCTGGTCCTGGCTGGGCCTTCGTCACCTGCCCCGGGAGCCGCTCCCATCTCCCCAACAGCCCCAGGCTCCTCTCCTTCCTCACCTGTCCCCCGGGCCGGATGCGGAACCCTACTCTGTTCAGCTGTCACCCTGTCTCCCCTGGCATCTGTCGCGGCTGTGAGGGCCTGGGCCATGCCTGGCCCCCGCTCACTTCGAATCTTTCCCCAGCCCAGTGAGCCGGGCAAAGGCTGATCCCTAAACGCCCGGCCTTTCCCGCTGTCTCTTCCCCAGCCCCTTCAGATCTCCTGTCTCCTATCGCCTCGGGAGTGTTTCCTTTGCTGAATTGCTTCTGTTCAGCCTGGCCGACTACAGTGTGGGTTCAGCTCCAACTTTGCCACCTCCCGGAGGGTGCCCGGCACCTGCTGTTGTCCTAACCGTAGCCAGTGGCACCTGAGCAGCTGCCGCGTGCCAGCAGGTGTCACCTCCTCCTGCCCTCGCCGGAGTCCACACGAGTGGCTGCTGTGCTCACTGTCATTGTACAGCGGGGAGGCAGGGACTGCGGTGCCCTGCCAGGGGACGCGTGGCAGGTGAGGAGGGAGGTGGCAGGAGCCAGGGCACAGGCAGAGCTTGTAAAGGTGCCCGGCTTCCCCCAGACCCTGCCCGGCCACCCTCCTGCTCTCGCATCTCCTGTCCCATTTCCTGTTCTCCCAGGGAGGTCACAGCTGGCGGGGTGCAGCTAGTAGTGGCCACAGCAGTGGATCAAGTGACCAGGTCAGATGACAAAGAACCGCAGGGCCCTGACACTCTGTGGGCAAGGTCTGTGTCTTACTCGTTTCTATAAAAATGTGTGGGTGAAGCCAGTCTTGGTGGTGCAAGCCTGCCAAGCCTTCGGGAGGCTGAGGCAGGAAGATGGTGTGAGTTCAAGGCCAGCACAGACTGCATAGTGAGACACTGTCTCAAAAACAATTTAAAAATGTAGATGTGAACTGGAGGCCAGGAAGGACTTTCTCCGTCTAGCAGGACTTGGCCGGCGTGGCTGGGGGTGGAGGCAGGGGAACGGCAGCAGAGTTCACAGGGGACTCCCGGGGACCCGGCTGGAGAAGAGGGATCAGCCACCCCCGCCAGACTGCTTACTCAGACCCCCAGCTGGATGTGTGGGCTGGGCTGGGGGTTCGAGTCTGTGTCTGGGTGTCCCCTCCTTGCCCCCTTCCTGGGCCGCTGTCCCTCAGGCCAGCCGGTCAGCTGTGCGGCTGTCTGAGGCAGCATCTGGCGCAGTGGGGTGGAGCACAGCCAGGGCCAGGCGTGCAGAGCAGCGAGACAGTGGGCAGGGGGCTGGGTCTGCCACGGGCAGCACACGGGCAGCCACCGGGAGCCCCCAAAGCCTGGCTTACACAACTGTACCACTCTGGCCACCTGAGGGTCCCCGTGCCATGCACAAGGGTCGGAGCGAGGGAGCTGGCTCAGACCTGGGGGCCAGGAGCACAGCTGGTGACTTTTCTCTGCAGGAGGTGAAGAATCTGGGACTCAGGCTGCTTTCAGACTGAACACATGGGTAGAGGAGCCAGCACATTTTCCGTTTTCCCTCCTGGGATGCCTTCTGGTATCCCACCTCTAGGGCACAGGGGCTTGGCAGACTAGGTCAGAGCCCAAGTTCTTCACTGTTGCAAGACCCTCTACTCACTCAGGCATGGTGGCACACGCCTGTGATCCGAGCACTCAGGAGGCTGAGGCAGGAGGATTGCTGCAAGTTTGAGGCCAACCTGGGCTTATATAGTGAAACTCTGCCTCAAATAGAAATACAACAACAACAAAAAAAACCTATTCTTCCTCCTAGTTCATTCTCCAGGTGTAATGGATGACATCTGGGCTCCTGTGTGTGTCTCCTGCTTGTCTCTGAGATCCATGGGAGACCTCTGAACGCTCTGCTGATTCACTATTGCTTTTCCAGTGTCCTGCTTGTGGTGGGAGAAGGAACAGAGAGATGGAAATGAGATTCTTGGGAGGTGTCAGTGACAAGATATCAGCTCACAAGCGTCCAAGTCCCCGATGCCCCCACCCCGCCTGCTCCCCAGTCTCCTTTTTCCATCTGAACCAACAGCCACCTTGTGCCCAGATTCTGCCTTTCCCCTCCCTGCTCTACTCGGGTCATAGTCAAACTCCTGCCGGGCTAGGCTCCAAGAACCCCAGCTCTTCCAAGCATTCCTGGACTCCCCTTGGATCTGCTTTTGATTTTTGAGTCTTGCTAAGTAGCTCAGCCTGGCCTGGAGCTCACAGCGATCCTCCTGCCTCAGCCTCCCAAGCACTGGGATTACAGGTGTGCGCCGCCACACCCGGCCACATCAGTTGATTTTGAGTTGTCAGAAGGGGTCACTCTGAGCAAGTCTGGCTTAATCAGGTCAGAGCTCTGACAAGAAGGACTGAGGCCTCCCTGAAGTCCAGACTCTCACTAGAGTGAAGGGACCGGCCCAGGAGGGGTCCAGTGGCAAGGGAGGGGCTGCAGACAGACAGCAGCTCTAGGCTGACAGCCAGCGAACAAACCAGAACCTCAGGCCTGTGGAGCCGGAAGGGAACTGTGCCAAAAGCCACCCAACCTTGGAACCTGGGGACCCTACAAGCCAGAAAGAAACGTAGCTCCTGAGGCTGAGCGGAGGACCCTGGCCATGGGGGGAGAGGAATTTCGGGTGTTGTTTTAAGGGCTGTGTTTACGGGAATCTGTCACTCAGCCCTGGATATGAGACAGGGTGTGGAGCTCAGAGCAAGGACGGACACGGGGTGCTCAGGGGTCCCTGGAGAACAGGGCCTCAACTCCAGTCCTCACACCCCCGCCTGGTCCTGGACTCACCCAACCCTAGCACTGGGCCGGGTCTGCTGGGTTCGGGTCCATCTCAGCAGGTGGCTTGGCATACCCGGTTTGGGTCCCGCTCCGGTGTCCGTGAATTCAGACCGACGCTGAGTTAATGCTAAGCCTACCCCAGACACAGCCCCAGCTCTGGCACCAACTGCAGGGTCCCAAAGAGCCACAAAGGCAGGTGCCACACGGATCCCCCTGCCCTACGGAGCCCGGCACCGCCTGTGGTCTTTGGCACCCGAGCAGACAGCTGCGGCCCTCGCCCTTCCTGGGGAACAGTCCACAGACACCGTGAGGGTCGGCAGCTGGGGCTCCAGATGTGGGGGAGCCCCGCACCGGAATAGGGTTACACCCCGTGGCTGCCCTGCTTTTCCAGGGTGTGGGGTGACTGGGATGGGGAGCCGGGTGGGCGTGGACAGCCCCCCCATCCCCTCCTCTGTCCTCGGGCCCCCTGGGTGCGGGTAACCGGGAGTCAGCGAAGGGGTCCCGAGACTTGCGGAAGCCTCCAGCCAGAGCACAGAGCCCCTCTGCAGTCCCTTCCTTTTGTGCACAGTGAATGCCCCGGATTTGGTTTCTCCGCTGACCCCCCGCCCACCACCCTGGGCCCCATCCGTGCTGCCCCGGGGCCGGGCCTCTCCCCTGCACAAAGGAGGTGGCTCAGGTTCCCTGTCAGGGCTTCTGCCCTTTGATCCGCCCCCTCCTCCTGCTCGGGGCTTCTGGGGTGCCCTGGGGCCCTCCATCCTGGGAGGGCACCCAGAGATAAGATCCAAGATCGGGGTGGGAAGGAGCCGGGACAAGAGGGACTTTAAAAGGCTGCCGACAGACCCTGCGAAGAAGCTCCGCTGTCACCAGCCCGGCCCTCCCCGCTGTCCCCCCTGGTGTCTCTCAGGCCCTGGATCCCACCAGGACTGCAACAGGGAGATTCTCAGAGCCCTGAGACTTCCGGGCCCTCCACCTTCCCCTTCCCAGGGCTATTGGGGCAAAGGTGCCCGTTGTGTAGAGCAACAGACTGAGTCCCAGGCCACAGAGAACCTGGTTCTGTCTTCCTTTTCTGGCCCTCCTGAGGACCATGAACCTCAGCAGCATCCCCTGGGCCCTCTCTCGCTCCTTCGCCCTTCTCCTGAGGTTTACAGAGCCTGCAGGGTTGTAGGTGCCTCCTCCTGCCTCAGCCTCCTGAGCTGCTGGGATTATAGCATGCACCACTGCACCCAGTAGACTTCAAGATTTATTATAAAACTGCAGTGGGGCTGGGGATTTAGCTCAGTCATTCCGCCACCTGCCTCAAAAGGGCAAGGACTGGAGTTCAATCCCCGCAACTGACAACAACAAAAAACCCCTAATCCCAGCACTTGGGAGGCTGAGGCAGGAGGATCACTATGAGTATGAGACCAGCCTTGGCTACATAGTGAGTTCCAGGTCAGTCTCAACTACGTAGTGAGACTCTGTCTCAAAAAAAGAAAAGAAAAGAAAAGAAAAAAACTGCAGTGATTGAGATAGTGCAGTGTTGGTGTAAAGACAGACAGATAGGCCAGGCATTGTGGCACACGCCTGTAATCCCAGCACTCGGGAGGCTGAGGCAGGAGGACCGCTGTGAGTTCAAGACCAGCCTGGGCTACATAGTGAATACCAGGTCAGTCTCAACTACATAGTGAGACCCTGTCTCAAAAAACCAAAAAAAAAAAAAAAAAAGAGAGAGAGAGGGAATGGGAAGATTTTTATTACTGGAATAAGTTTTTTTGGGGGGAGGGTTGAGACAGGGTCTCACTATGTATTGAGACTGACCTGGAACTCACTGTGTGGCTCAGGCTGGTCTCGAACTCACAGCGATCCTCCTGCCTCAGCCTCCCACGTGCTGGGATTACAGGCGTGCGCCACCACGCCCAGCCCCTGTAATGTTTTTTTTTTTAAGTATTTCCCATTTTTTATCATACCATATAAAGACGGTCACATGTTGAAATATTTATGGAAATGGCTATATTGTGGGCTAGTATGCACACACATAGCTACTTGCTGTGTCCACTGGAAGACCTGGAGCATCCACACCCTATCAGAAAGGAGCACACCTCATGCCGAGGTCTTGGCTTCTAATAAAAATTTCAAAGAAGCAAGAACCCTGCGAGGAACAGCTGCTTTCAGGACTTGGGCAGGAAACATACAAAATGTTGCTGGAGCATCTTGTCCTGCCAGAGGTTAAAGCCAGTGCTCAAACAAAACACACAGAAGGAAAGTCCACCGAGAGGGAGCCGCTTGATGCAGAAACACAGAAACTAACTGCAAGAACCACTCCAGTGGGTGGGGACAAGGGGAAAAAATGAGCACCAAGACCTGGCACGTAAAGGTACAAGATCCCAGTAATGAATGTAACTGTACTGTCTACCTAGAATGTACCAATAAATAAAATAAAATAAAAAAAGAACGGCTCCCGAGAAAGCCAAACCTGGAGCAGCACGGACAGGTCCCCCAGTCAAACTCACTCCACAGGAGCACAGAGATACCAGGGAGCCAGCAGTAGCCACGTTTAGCTACTCTTGCAAGAAAGCTATTTCTACAAAAAACCACAGAAGACTTGCTGCTCCCTCCACCACCCCCGGTTTATCAGCCAGCCCCACGCCCATCACCCATGGGACTCTAAAAATTTTCCACCCTCTCCACCAGTGCCCGCTCCCAAGCCTAAACTTCCCCATAACAACCACACACACCCTCCGCTCAGTGCCAACGGCCTTTTTGCCCCTGGCCCGCCCGCCTCCAGGCAGCAATAAACTTATCTCATGTTGCTTTGATTTTGCCTGCCTCAGTGGTCTCAATCATGCCTCAGTCTGACCTTACACTCAGCACTTGGGAGGCTGAGGCAGGAGGATCGCTACAAATTCAAGGCTAGTCCGGGCTACGTAATGAGTTCGAGACCAGCCTGAACTATATAGCGAGACCCTGTCTCAAAAACAAACCAAAGGGCCTGGGATTTAGCTCCGTGGTTCCGTCGCCTGCCTTGCAAGTGCAAGGACCCGAGTTCGAGCCCCAGTACAAAAAAAAAAAAAAAAGAGTAATGCCTTTAGATCCAAAGTGCAAATGAGACATCCATGAGTCCACAAGGATGTAAATAATGATTGAATACATAGATAAGTGGACCAATGGACCAATGAGATGCGTCTGGACAGTCTGGCCTGTGTACCCACAGACTGCACATCTGCAGAGTCAACCGAGTGCAGAGGAAAACTATTTTTAAAAAATTGGCATCTGTGCTGAACATGCCCAGGCTTTCCTTAAAAAATGCTACACAACAACTTGCGTAGCACTTGCGCTGTGTTAGGGTTCAGTAATCCAGAGATAGTTTCAAGGGCTCGGGAGACTAGGTGGGCCCTAAGCAGTGCACTGCCGCTTTGTACGAGGGACGCGAGGGTTTGCAGGCTCCGGTAGGGAGGGGCATCCGGGATCCCAGCGCATGGGTCCGGGGTGGCTGAGAACCACCCATGACAGGGAGGCACTTTCCACCCACAACATGGGATCCTTTAAAAGAGTGCAAACAGAAGGGGAAAGGAGTAACTGCCGAGGAAGTGCCGGCCACACACCGCATCTCAGTGCCAGTCCTGGATGCGACGTGACACAGAGGGCACTTCTCCCCCAAACCCAGAGCCCAGTTCAGTTACGGGGAGGATCTCAGGCCAGGATCAGTGAAGGGGCCTTGTGCAAAATACTTAACCAAACCCCACCAAACTGCCAAGTCAAAAAGCGAGAAGCCGGGCATGGTTGCGCACGCCTGTAATCCCAGCACTTGGGAGGCTGAGGCAGGAGGATCGCTGTCAGTTCGAGACCAACCTCGGCTCCATAGTGAGTTCCAGGTCAGTCTCAACTACATAGCAAAAGCCTGTCTCAAAAAAACAAAATAGAACCAAAAAAATAGGTGGGGGGAATTGGATGTGGATTATATGGGAACTCTTTGTACTATCTTTGTAATTTGTAAAGCTAACATTTATCTCAAATGAAAAGCTTTTTTTTTCCATGAAAAGCTTATTTTAAAAAGAGACAAGTTATAGACAGACACTTTAAAAGCTCATATTTCATTAAGGACCTGCATCCAGACCTATATAAGGAACTCTCAAAACACAAAAGTATGAAAAACATCCCATAGGTTAGTTTTATTTTGTTTTGTGTTTTTGTTTTTTTGAGACAGGGTCTCACTATGTAGTTGAGACTGAAATGGAACTCACTATGTAGCCCAGGCTGCTCTCGAACTCACAGCGATCCTCCTGCCTCAGCCTCCCAAGTGCTGGGATTACACGCATGAGCCACCACGCCCAGCTCCATAGGTTATTTGATTTAATAATTTTACATTGTGTACATGTATCATGATTGCTGTACTCTGGGAATACACACAATTCTTATTTTTCAGTTATACCCTAACAAAACAGAGAGTAAATGGAATAAAAATTAAAACAGAGGGCTGGGGACTTAGCTCAGTGGTTCCACCACCTGCATCACAAGCACAAGGTCCTGAGTTCCATCCCCAGCACCAAAAAAAAAAAAAAAAAAAAATTAAAACAGAAAGATAATTTTTATTACATTCAGTGGGGAGTTCGTAGCATGTATATAACACATCTCAGTTCTCTCTCTCTCTCTCTCTTTTTTTTTTTTTTTTTTTGGTTTTTTGAGACAGGGTCTCACTATGTAGTTGAGACTGAAATGGAACTCACTATGTAGACCAGGCTGGTCTCGAATTCACAGCGATCCTCCTGCCTCAGCCTCCCGAGTGCTGGGATTACAGGCGTGCGCCACCACGCCTGGATCGATCAAATAAAACTTCAGAAAACAGAACCTAACCCCTGGTGCCAAAGGTCAGATCAGTGTGTTCAGGTGAGGGGAGTCATTTTAAAGCATAGGGAAATTTTTGTGGGTAATGAATATATTTGTTACCCTGATTATGTGAAGACCAAATTGACTCCATTTTGCTAATTACCTAGTTCTCGGAAAAACCCATGACTGTTCCCATAAGCTGTCATCAGATGTTCTCTTTTTAATCTTGTTAGTACAAGGAGGGACATCTGGCCTGGGCCAATTAAGCATTGAGAAAACACACACATTTGCAAAATGTTAACCAATCAAGCACTGACCCATTTAGAAAGCCCCTAGTTCTGCTTCTCTGCGAGTATAAAAGACTGTTTGAAATCATTCTCGGGGCTTTCAGTACAAATCCGCTGCGTCAGTGAGGTCCGAGAGTCCAGGCTCGAGCTTGCAATAAACTCCTAGTGTGATTGCATCGGAGTTGACTCCTTG